AAATAATTTCTGTTATGATCACAAAGATCTTCTGGAAGGGTGGGCATATGACATGGTGAACACAAAGTCAACCAAAAAAGTAAAAGCAGTGAATTAAAAAAAAAAAAAAAAAAAAAGTCCTGTGTATACACTTAGATGCATCATGGTGATTAAGTATATGGCTGGAAAGCTGTTATTTTGATAAGAATTCTTCATATATACAGTTGTGTTCATAATAATAGCAGTGTGTTGAAAAAAGTGAATAAAGCTCAAAATCCTTCTAATAGCTTCTATGTCCATACACACAAATGCATTGGGAACACTATACATTCTATTCCAAATCAAAACATGAAGAAAAATATATCAAATCTGTGTTGTTCCTCTAAAAAAAATTGAAGAAAAGTGAATATTAGACTGTTCAAAAAAATAGCAGTGTTTGTATTCTTCTTTACAAACTCAAACATTCACTATATAAACTGAAAAAATGTTTGAAGATTTTGCTTTCCTTTGAATCACTTAATGAATATTTAGTTGTATAAGCACTGTTTCTGAGAACTGCTGTACATCTGTGTTGCATGGAGTCAACCAACGTCTGGCACCTGTGAACAGGTATTCCAGCCCAGGATGATTGGACTACATTCCACAGTTCTTCTCTATTTCTTGGTTTTGCCTCAGAAACTGCATTTTTTGATATCACCCCACAAGTTTTCTATTGGATTAAGATCCGGGGATTGGGCTGGCCACTCCATAACGTCAATCTTGTTGGTCTGGAACCAAGATGTTGCACATTTTACTGGTGTGTTTGGGGTCGTTGTCTTGTTGGAACACCCATTTCAAGGGCATTTCCTCTTCAGCATAAGGCAGCATGACCTCTTCAAGTATTCTGATGTATTCAAACTGATCAATGATCCCTAGTATGCGATAAATAGGCCCAACACCGTAGTATGAGAAACATCCCCATATCATGATGCTTGCGCAACCATGCTTCACTGTCTTCACAGTGTACTGTGGCTTGAATTCAGTGTTTGGGGGTCGTCTGACAAATTGTCTTCGGCCACTACACCCAAAAAGAACAATCTTACTTTCATCAGTCCACAAAATGTTGCTCCATTTCTCTTTAGGCCAGTCAATGTGCTCTTTGGCAAATTGTAACCTCTTCAGCACGTCTTTTTTTTCAACATTGGGACTTTGCGGGGGCTTCTTGCAGATAGCTTGGCTTCACATAGGCGTCTTCTAATTGTAACAGTACTCACAGGTAACTTTACACCTTCTTTGATCTTCCTGGAGCTGATTGTTGGCTGAGTCCTTGCCATTTTGGCTATTCTTCTATCCATTCGAATGGTAGTTTTTCGCTTTCTTCCACGTCTTTCAGGTTTTGGTTGCCATTTTAAAGAATTTGTGATCATTTTAGCTGAGCAGCCTATCATTTTCTGCACTTTTTATATGTTTTCCCTCTCCAATCAACTTTTTAATCAAGGTACGCTGTTCTTCTGAACAATGTCTGGAACGACCCATTTTCCTCAGAATTTCAGAGAGAAATGCACTGTAACCAGCATGTACAACATTTGCTGCCTTCTTCCATAAATAAGGGCAATAATTGCCACCTGTTTTTCAAAGAATGAATGACCTCACTAATAGAACTCCACACTAACACAGCCCCGTAATGCAAAAAATGGTCTGGTCAGGAAGGGGAGTAATTCCTCTGGAGGGCAAGTGTTTAATATTAGGTATATATGTGAATGGGGTATGTCATACCAAATAAATCAAGGTCATACATGACTACCCTAGCACATACGAAAGGGGAGAAAGCAGTCTCTTCCTGCCTGGGTGACAAAAGAACAATGTGTTTGGTATCCCTGGGTTCAAAATATAATTCTGAATAATAATCTGCCATTTTCTATAATACCACCTGCACCTATTGGAAGTTATTAATATTAGTGTAAAACTGCATTTGGGAATTGGTCGTAAACGTGGTGGCCTCCCAGCACCCATCCCTTAAACCAGATTATTGGTCAGTTGCTCTCTGGTGACACCCCTTTGATATCACAGAAAAGGGACTGACCGGATCTAGTAAGCAAGCTCTCATTTTACCATCAACCAAGGAACACCAAAGAAAGCCACGACAATGTTTTTGCTTGGATAATTGGACTCTGCTAAAACCAAGACTTTGCAAGTATTCTGCCTTCTTAACTCCTTTCTTGTATTTCTCTGTTGCTTTATTGTTCTCTTTATTTCTTTGTAACATCCCTTTCTGTGAATATTTTAATTGCCCCATTTGACCTTTTCATTATTACACCCTATTTTGAAGAGTGTTAAAACTGTCTCTAATGCTTTTAATACAAACTAAAGAATCCCTGTCTCCTGAGGGGTGCTACTGTATATAATAATCCTCTGAATATACCTGTCTATGGTGGCAGTGTGTGTTACATATGTTTATTGTTCACATTTGTTCTTGCTAACATTGTGAAGGGTTGATAGTCCCAAAAGGTATCTGGTGGCAGTTTGGAGTTTGAAGGGTTATTTGCATAATTAATTAACCCAGTGACAATCGCTCTCAGGCTGCTGGCACATAGATTGTGGTTCCGTGAGCTGGAAAATCTTTGTACAGGATGCAACCGAGAGTGACATTTTTACGCAAGTGACAGCGCGGTGTGAGATTGGTTGGTCCTTTGTCACAAGTTGGTGAGAAGGGCAGGGCTTGTGCATTGTGCCATCCCATTGGGATGCCAAACAGATTAAGTAATTGAGGAATTTAGTTCTTGGAAGATGCGTTTGGACATCCTGTATATACAGAAAAGTTAGAAACAATATAGAAAACCTTTGGTAAAAAAACTATTTTAAACCAATTTAAAATATTCAGACCGCCCCTTGAAGACGTCATTCATGACGAAACTAGTAGGGCTTGGCTTGCTGGATGCTGACGTCTGAGCGCTGTAGTGAGTGTGCGGGGAACAGGAGACTGTTATACCATTTGCTGTTTTATGCTGTTATACTGGTGTCGGTGAAGACACCCTTTTTGTGAGTGTAAATCTTTATTAAATTGTTGGATACTTTTATAAAAAAACTGGCTGCACCATGATTTTCTCTTTCATTCCCAAACATGACCTCGGTGGAGAGATATAAAAAGAGAGAGTGATATAATGCTCCTGGAACCATTATATTGAGTGGTGGATACCTACCTTATGGATGATTGTGTAGCTATTGATCATCACACCTGAGAAGTTGATTTATTGCATCTGCTCCCAGAGCAAAAAGCGTTTTTTGCTGATCTAGAGATTGATCAGCATGGAGCTCTGGTGAGTTACCCAACTTTACTTTGGTGGTGTATTTTGGCACAATTTCTTTGAGAGCACCTGAATTTGAAAAGGATTTGTTTGGACATTTGAAGAAATTCAGAATTAAACAATTTTTTATATTCACAAATTTAATTATTTTAATTATTTATGCACTAAAAAATAGTTTTGCACATAATTTTGATATTTTTTGATATTAATTAAGAATAGATATATATATATCTTTTGCACTAATGTTTCTACACTAAATTAGGAATAGTTTGTGGTTTTAGCGCATTCCTTTATTTAAGTTATAGCACTAAGAAATTTATTTGGTTTCTTTGAGGTGGAATTGCTGCTTTAAAGTATTAAGGGTGTGGCGCTTTTATTTCACTTGTGATATTTTAAACCAATGACTTCTTCCATGTAAGTTAAGGGGGACCTTAGGTCAATTAGATATTTTGTGTTTAAACGCTGAAATAACATGGGTCAGATAATTATCAATGTTGTTAAATGAATTGGAGCAAATGAAATATTTTCTCTATTGTTAAATGTAAATACATTCAAGCATTCCGATTTGTTTGCACTAACCCTAAAATTACCAAGGTATATGAATACATCATGTTGCTGACATACTTGGATTAGACACAAATAAGAGCAAGTCAGCAGCAAAAAAATCTTAATTTGCGGGCGGTCCCATTGATTGATAGACCCAGAATAGAACTAAAAAATACAGATATGGGGATAAGGCTCAGCCCTGGTGGGTCCCATTAGAAATAGAAACTGGATAAGATGGAAGGCTATTTACTCTAGTTCTGGTAGTGGGTGAAGAATACAATGCCATGATTTTGTTAAAGAAGGCAGCAGGCAGACCTATTTGGTGAAAGTTGGCTCACAGAAATCCCCAGTCCAGGTGGTTAAATGCCTTCTCTGCATCAAGGGACAAGAGACATAAAGGTTACTTATGCTTCCGAGTGTAGTTCATATGAATCAGGTTTGATCATATTTTCATGGGCTTCGTGTTGTGAAATGAGACCCACATATTCTGGGTGTATCAATGAGTCAATATACAGTTGTAATCTAGTCGATAGTAGTTTTACATGCAGTATATCTTCAAGTCAACATTCATTAATGAAATAGGTACTGTATGTAGCTGGTAGGATCTATTTAGGGTAATAGTGGTAATTAGGGTAATGTGAGATTTTCAGGAGGGGCACTGTGACAGACCCATCCAGGACATTCTTTTGGAAGGGACTAGGGGCTAGTCCCTAGTCCCCTCGGAATGCCCATGCCCAAGTTGGACTTGAAATGTGACTTACCACCTGTCACCTGATTGAGTGATTCCGTCAGAGAAATGCTTCCCGCTGCTGGAACATAGGACCAAGGTATTATAGCTGGGCATCGCACCCAAGCCTAGTCGACACTAGCTTAGGTGCAAAAACTGGAACTCTTTATTGAACAGAAATAAAGGTTTTTTATTCACCTCAGAAATAGTGGTAGTACCAAGTACAATACACACAAAACACCCTGGGATAAACATTCCACAAAGATTAGGTAAGAGCTTGATTACATTAATTGCAGTACAGCCAACAGCTAGTAAGTAACCTAATTAACAGTAAGCTAATAAACAGCCAAGCATTCAGACAAGCCAGGGAGCCCACCCCAGACAGCCCTCCATCCCCTAAATACACCGTGTCCATTACACATGCTGTCTTTCAGGTGTTTGCTTTCACTTGTATAATCTGTCCATCATAAGACAAAACTCATACAATATTCCAACAGTCTGAAAAAGTGGAATTCATCTATCTTCATAGATTTCTTGAAGGAGATTGTTGATAAATATTTCTGTCCCAGGTGGAGGAGCTTCTCCAACCCAGTCTGCAGGAAGGCCCCATATTTCCTCTGACTATTAATCTGTACAAGAGATGAATATTACACCTTTCCATCCACTCCAGAAGGGAAGCTGTATGTCAGGAATGGACTCGCCAATGGTGGTGGGACTCACCTGCCGTGTGGGCTGCAGTACCAGGACTGACCAGCGGGGGTGCTCTCAGCAGCCAGAAGCTCACTCCTGCAATCAGCCAACACCTGGGCTGATTGCAGAAGGTGTATTTAAGGAATGACCAGGCCTGTGGTCAGGGCCTTGGTGTATGTTTCCCATGAGCCCCTGTACCTGGTATCCTGTGTTCCTGCCTTGTTGCTGACCCTGCTTTGATCCTGACCTCTGCTGTCCGTCTCCTGTTGAACCCCTGGCTTGCCTGACCATCCTTCTGCCTGATCCTCGGTACCGCGCTGCCCGCTACCTGCTGAACCTGGCTTGTGACCCCGACCATTCTCTGCTTGCTCCCCCTGTACCACGCTGACCGCACGATACCGACCCGGCCTGTCTGACTACGCTTACTTCACCTGACGATCTATCCATCCTGCACGGATCACCTTTAGTAAGCCTGCCTCTTCCCATCTGACTCCGTTCCTGCACTCCCCTGCCAGTACACTCTACCACAGCCGGACGCACTCGGGGGTCGCGACCTGGTTCTAGTCTGCACCAAGTCCATCCCCATCATCAGGGGCCCTGGTGAATAGCAGGCTGGGACTTAGACCCCGCGCCCTGAGGAAATCCGTGCTGTGGGCTGCTAGAGACACTGCCAGGCGGCACCTGACAGTACCTTACGGCCTACCTGACCATTCCACCTCTCCAGGTTGACTACGCCTGTGTTCCTGCACATACTAAGATTAGTGGAAGGTTGGTTTGTTCACTGTGCGTTATATATCTGGGTGGCTAATAATAATTAGATTGTACCTGAAGTCTGCGTTTCCCTGTGTCAGTCCACACATTTCTGGTCATACCCAGATTCCTGACACTGTATTGTCTTTACTCAGAGAATTAATGCAAGCACTTTTCATGGAATTATCCATCATCACAGGAGAAGCAGACAAAATCCCCGGTCTCCTACATGGCCATAATCAGTGGGTAAAAGGCCCTAGTCCCCTCCAAAAGCCCCTGCCCTGGTTAGGTCTGCCACAGGGAGATCTCAGAGATGGCATTAAATATTGGTGCCAAGACATCTTTAAATTGTTTGAGAGCAACTGAGATATCATTAGGCCCAGGACTCTTGTAGGTAATGTGAGAATTGCACTAAGACTTCTCACTTGTGTATTAAACCTGTAGGGCATGCGATACTGAAGGATCTAAAGGCAACTTCAACTAGTGTTCTGAAGGGTTTGACTAATTGTTAGGTAATGGTTCAATTAAGAATGTTGTAAAGGGCAGAGTAGTATTATTTGAAAAGTAAGGCAATAAATTCTGAGCTTTTGACCATGCCTTACTTCAGACATTATATCTTGGGTATATATTTTTGTGACTGTTTATCACGGAAGGAGCATGATAACTAATCTTAGTTAACATGCTAATATTTTAGCCAGAACTTTAACATCTGTATTAACAATTGATATCTATAGAATTCCCAACACAAAGGGGCTTTGTTTGGTTTAGGTATGTTCTTTCAGATTAGTATAAACAATGCTTCCCTAATCAAGGTTGGAAGAATCCTCCTTTTTACTATCACATTGTACAAAGATAATAGACATGGAATCAGCCTGTCTCTATATTAAATATACCATCTACAGGATGCAGATCTGGGGTGTTAGGTTTTGAGAAGGAGGAAAGGACATGCCATAGTTTCTATTCTGTCATAGGGAAGTCTAAAATTTCCCTCTGTGTGGGAGAGAGGTGACATAACTCAAGTGATCCAAAATGTCACAAGATCATTAACATTGTACTGGGTCTGTGCGTTATATAAATCACTATAATAGTGGAGAAAAGCTGCCATAATGGTGTCACTGGAAGTTAGTAGTGTGTGATTAGCATCATAAATTCTGGGTATAGCCACTGGGACATATTCTGGTTTGGCAAGGAAAGCATGGAAGCAGCTGTATTTGTTACCTGATTAAAAAACGTGTTGTACTTGGTAAAGGAGATGTTGCAGATGCCCATCTGCAAGCGCAATGTCATACACTTCAACACCTGGAAGGTGTTTGGAGAAGGGTTTTGTATATAGTCTCTCTCTCTAGTCCCCCCTGCCCCAATCCATGTAGTTTCCTGCCATAAGATTTTTTTATATCGCCTACAGTGGACATGAAGGAGCCTCAAACTGTAACTTTGAAGGCCTCCCAACAGGTCTCCACAGGTGTCTTCCCCTTATTCTACCAACTGAAGTTATCATAGTAACATAGTTGGTAAGGTTGAAAAAAGACACTAGTCCATCCAGTTCCACCTGTGAGGGTGTGGGTGCATTCATGACAAAAGTCATATCCCACATCCCTGTATACTGTGTTCACTAAGATGCCTGCCCAAAGAGGTTTTTAAAACTATTGATACTTCCCGCTGACACCACAGATTGTGGAAGGGAGTTCCACATCCTTACCGCCCTGACAGTGTAAAATCCCCTACGCAGTTTAAACCGCTTCTCCTCCAATTTCATTGAGTGGCCCCATGTCTTCTTGTACTTCCTGAAACTGAATAGTTTATTTCCTATGATAGAATCACCATTAGAATATTTGTATATTGCTATCATATCGCCTCTCAATTGCCTCTTTTCCAGGGAGAATAGGTTTAATGTTTGTACTCGTTCCTTGTAACTGAGGTCCTCCAGTCCCCTTATTTGTTTAGTCGCTCCCTTCTCTGGGCTCTCTCCGTTTCCAACACATCCTTCCTGAGGACTGGTGACCAGAACAGGATGCATACTGCAGATGTGGCCGAACCAGAGTTGAATAAAGTGGTAGGATTATTGTTTTAACTGTTGAGTAAATTCCCTTCTTTATGCATGCTAATATTCTGCTAGCTTTGATTGATGCAACTTGGTATTGCATGCCATTGATGAGTCTGTCATCTATTAGGACCCCCAGATCTTTTTCCATGATGGATTCCCCCAGAGGTTCTCCCCCCTAGCACAAATTCATGCCTGCTTTACATACCCTTAGTAGGCCTTCCGGTTGGTGCCAGTGAAAATGTCAGTTTTCCATCTCCTCCAAATTCTTCAACTCCCTTCTTGTCTAGACTTTCTCTCTCTATTTAAATTCCCCCACTCTTTCAAGCCTGACTGACTTGAAGCTAAACTGATGCAATGCAAGGGGCAGTACCATATCCTTAAAGGGACTGGTTCTATCATGGATAAAAAGATGTAGTATACTAAATTAGTACTTAGATCACAATCCAGTGAAAATAGCACACATATAAAATATGGTAACTATACAATAATATCTAGCACTAGAGTAAATGTACAGAGACTGGGACACAAAGGAACTGTGCCACAAATCTGGACTAAGAAACGAGATGAATGTTCAAAGGAGATACCTAAAATGTCCAGTGGACCATGCAGGGTTTTTATCAGAGTACCTCTGCTCTAAAATTAGGAAAAGCACTCTTAGCAATATAATTTAGAACACACAGATTTGGAAAGTGCCAGAATGTGAAGTGCAGCTTCCGAAGGTAGCCTACCTAGATGTCTTCATTCATTCCTGAGATATACTGACACATGAATTATCAGAGACTGGGTTACACCTAAGGTTGTACTGCTACTTTGAGAACTGTAGAGCGCTCAGCGCCTAACTGACCATTACACACAGATCTTGAAAACACCACAATGCAGAGCTTATTGTGCAACTATCATCTAGCAATATACTTGTGTCACATTCAGAGGCACACTTGCAGAGAGAGAAACCAGAGACTGGGTATCCCATAGGTTGTACCATTGCTCTGAAACCGTTGAGCCTTCTGCAGCTAATAGACTCTATCTTTACCCCATGCATATATTTACTCATAGAGTGGGTCTTCAAAGATTGGGTCATACCAAAAACAGAAATGGTTTTACAGGTGGAGGCCACTGACATTTTTTTCCCTACCCATCTTTTCTGAGTGTTTTTCACTAGTTTTGGCTAGAGTCAGTGTCACTACTGGTAGCATGAGGCGATACCTGGACCCTACAGCGGTTGCACAGGCAGTCCAACTCCTCCAGGATGGCACATCAATACGTGCCATTGCCAGAAGGTTTGCTGTGTCTCCCAGCACAGTCTCAAGAGCATGTAGGAGCTTCCAGGAGACAGGCAGTTACTCTAGGAGAGCTAGACAGGGCCGCAGAAGGTCCTTAACCCATCAGCAGGACCGGTATCTGCCAGAACTCTAGAAAATGACCTCCAGCAGGCCACTGGTGTGAATGTCTCTGATCAAACAATCAGAAACATACTTCATGAGGGTGGCCTGAGGGCCCAACGTCCTCTAGTGGGCCCTGTGCTCACTGCCCCGCACCATAGAGCTTGATTAGTATTTGCCACTGAACACCAGGATTAGCAGGTCTGCCACTGGAACCCTGTGCTTTTCATAGGTGAGATCAGGTTCATCCTGAGCACATGCGACAGACGTGAAAGGGTCTGGAGAAGCCGTGGAGAACATTATGCTGCCTGTAACATCGTTCGGCATGACCGTTTTGGTGGTAGGTCAGTGATGGTCTGGGGAGGCATATTCATGGTGGAACGAACAGACCTCTGCAGGCTAGACAATGGCACCCTGACTGCCCTTAGGTATCTGGATGAAATCCATGGACCCATTGTCAGACCCTACGCTGGTGCAATGGGTCCTGGGTTCCTCTTGGTGTACGTCAATGCCCGACCTCTTCTGGCAAGACTATGCAGGCAGTTCCTGGGGGATGAAGGAATTGATACCATTGATTGGCCCGCACACTCGCCTGACCTAAATCCAATAGAACATATCTGGGATATCATGTTTCGGTCCATCTGACATCGCCAGGTTGCACTTCAGATTGTCCAGAAGCTCAGTGATGCCCTGGTCCAGATCTGGGAGGAAATACCCCAGGACACCATCAATTGTCTCATTAGGAGCATGCCCCAACTTTGTCAGGCATGCATACAAGCACATGGGTGCCATACAAACTACTGAGTACCATTTTGAGTTGCTTCAATGAAATTTCTTCAAAATGGACTAGCCTGCTGCATCATTTTTTCACTTTGATTTTTGTGCTGTCTTTGAATTCAGTCCTCTGTAGGTTGATAATTTTCATTTCCATCAAATGATGGGGAATTCTTACATTCCTAACACATTACCCAGTCCATATCAGAATAGATATCCAGCATGATATTTTTCCCCATTGAGATCTGATGTGTTTTCAAAGTGTTCCAGTGTAGTAAGAATCTGTTGGGATTCAAGTTCATAGTCGTTGAGTACTGCTTGGTCAGGCTGGGCAGTGCTTTCTTGGAAGCAAGGCAGAGGCATCTCCAGTACTTTGGCTTTCAAGGTCGCTGGGATTAATTGTAGAAGCCTCATCACAGGACCAGCACTACTTGCATTTTAGAATTTCCAGCCATGGAGAGTACCAGTAGGATTCACAGTAGACACAGGAGAAGACTGCCGAAAGCTTGGCATATGAACATAACCAAACTCTATTCACCCCCACCTTGATCCTATCAGGTCTCTGCATGATATCATCATTATTTGACTCCCATCCTACCTTTCCCTTCTGTCACCCCTCCACTGCAGGCTTCCCCTGACTTCCTACATCCCATTTCCTCTCCCCCAATTCCTTTTCTCTTCCATCTTTTCTCTGCTCAGCCACACTATAACACAACATTTCCATTCTTCTTTACATTTGAAATCCTCTAAATGTTGTCCTTTTAAACTAAAGATCTCTACAGTTCAGAGGGATTTGCAATCACATCCATCAGTGCTATAACACAGTATATATTATCATACAGCAGTCCCATAATCCTAAATACCAAGCCAATCCTACCACATATTCAAAGTGACACTTTATCTTATGGTTACTTCTGTTATATTATCCATAAGTTTCTTTATATGACTCTGCCTCTGTGAATCTTACTCCCCCCCCAAAAAAAAAAAAAAAAACAACATACCATTTAAAGG